TCTCTCTCTCTCTCTCTTCATCTCTCTTATGTACAGTATGTGGATCTGCATATAAAAAAATCATACCACGTAGTTAACTTCATTCGTATAAGTACTGGTGTAGTCAACATACATACATACACATTAATGAAGTACACAAATAACTTCTACTGTAGTTAAAAAGAAAATAGGAAAAATGTCCTGAGTCAGTATCAACGTATATCCTATATTTCTGGTCATTTCTGTGGTATATAACTTACTTTTGGGATATAAGAGAACTTAAGGGTGGATATTCAAATCACTTTTCATCCGTTGCATCCCCTCCTGGGAAATAAATAGACATCCCTGGGATAAATGTAGTCTTTATACAAAAATCTGTCCCTGAGCCCCTACTAATTAAGCTTATGTTAATCACTATTAATAATAATCCTAGCCCTCAACCAAAGAAAAGTGTTGCTGCCCTCTAGTGGCCGCTTAAGACAAAGCAGCTTGGTCCAACTCAGCCACCTGCACCTGACATCATAAGTGCAAATAATACTAAGTATAGCCATTGAGATATGGACAGTTTTTGTCAGTGGAGAAAATCATTTCGATGAGGTGCTTACTGCAGTTTGTGTGAGAAACGTCACACTTGTCTCAGGTTTAAGGAAATGTGAAAATCAGACAGCGAGACATCAACAAACAACTGAGCAGAATAAGAGGAAGATGAAGCTGCACTGATCTTCAAAAACATCGTCTCTACGCCTGGGGCTGCCGATATGGAATCAGTAGTAAATACAAAAATAATCGTTGTGCCTTACTGCTGTGGGACAATTCAAATGACAAATAACATGGTTTAAGATCCTTCACTGAAAAGCTTGTGTCTACAGTGCGGTCACATGACAGCCCTGAGTGATAAGCGTGGTGGGAACGTCACATGCTTTCATGACACAGCCAATGTCATATTCACAGCACCGGCACATCCCCACCTGGGTACATGTGTAGTTCCACCTGATCTCCAGCAGAGGGAGACAAAGCTTGAACTTTAAAATGTTGTTTTTTTGTTGTTAAAAAGTTTTGCAGTCTGCTGATGTCAGAGTAAAGGGGGACACAGTGAAGGGGCCACAGAGGGGTTGCCCCAACGTATGTCTTAATAAAAAAAGAATGTGATTTTGCTTTATTGCACGATAATGGAAAGAGTCCTGCCGGGGTAATTAAAGCAGCCGAAGCACAGGGGAGCAGGTTAGCCGATTACATTTGAAAACAACAACTACACAATTGCCTTGTGACAGGAAATTGAATACTTTAGAGATAACAGCCGTGTGAATCATGTTTTCTCACACAGGTGTGGACGGAACATAGAGGTATCACTTATAACAAGACAAATTGAAGTATAGAATTTAAAAATACATGTTGCACCTGTGTTTTGTAGGCACTAATTCAGGACTATGGATTTCACATCAATATAAGTCAAGTTGTTTATGAAGTTCAACAGAAATAGCTCATGTCTAGTGTTTCCATATCATTTGTAGGTCAGAGTGCAACGTGAGCTTTAGGTTATTACTGAGACAAGTCATTAGCAAGTATTATTGACACAACAAAGACAAATTATTGTGAAATTGGAGCTATAGATTTCCCCAGATTGCGGTCAATGAAATCGGAGGACACAATATAATAAACAAATAGACAAGATGAAAGATTGTTCATGGTGATCTGTAAACACTGTGTGGACAAGTCAAGGGTTTGATCAAACTACAAAGCGGACAGTAAAACATTCAATAATCTGCTTGAGGTCATGAGGATGAACTAATAATGAACTTTGCAATAAGATAAGATAGGACTTTATTTATCCTGAAGGAAATTGTTGTGCCAGAGTAACACAAATAAACACAGAAGCACAATAATAATAAAACTGAACACTGACAGTGCGGTTAAAAGAGCAATTCAATAACTACAGGAAACAGAGATGGTCACATAATTAAATGAACATTATTTAGTATTTAGTAGTGCAAAAAGAAACGTAGTGGTAGTTACGTAATTGCACGTTATTTATCGAACATTATAGATAATAATAATACAAATATTGACAAGACAGCTACTTGTGAGAGGCTACACCCAATTATAGCTGAGCCTCAAATGAAGGGCAGCAGACAAGGGAATGTCCAAAACAAATACAACTCTAAACATATGGTAGATGACACACTTCATATACTTCAGCGGGATCTGACACCTACTGTGACACCGCAAAACCACAGTTGCACCAAATTCTGAGTGAGAGGAGAGGAGAGACGCTGCAGGTGGAGTCTGATTTAGGGACTTCATTCCTGAGCCCTT